CCCCCCCCCCCCCCCCCTGGGGTTGAGGCCCCGCCCTCCCCCGTGGCCCAGCCTCTAATTGCCTCCTTTTCAGCTTTTTTAGACTGGGCTATTCTGAAATAAGAGAGGCACAAGAAAGAGTTTCAGTTGTTCTATTTTCCTCCGTAATTTTGCATAAAATTCTGCCCCGTCTTTGCAGCCGCTTTCTTTTCCCTTATTTGTATGTAACTCTGAGAATGTTTAAAAATGTTTTCTCTATGTTGGTACAAAAGGGACTTTCTTAGTAAAGTTTCATTTCCTTGAGCCCTGTATACTAACACAAAACAACTATCTGTAACTGATGGCGAACAGTCAGTTGAGATAACTCACTACCTTCGGACCAGCCTAAATCAAGTATTTGCAGAAAGATCACTGCAAAGTGCTGGGGAAGCTAGCACCACATCAGAAGCAGACAGTCTAACAGAAGTCTTCAGAGAAGTTTTAAAAACTGCCTATGAGCCGGGCGTTGGCGGCACACGCCTTTAATCCCAGCACTCGGGAGGCAGAGGCAGGCGGATCTATGTGAGTTTGAGATCAGCCTGGTCTACAAGAGCTAGTTCCAGGACGGCCTCTAAAGCCATAGAGAAACCCTGTCTCGAAAAACAAAACAATAAATAAATAAATAAATAAATAAATAAATAAATAAAAACTGGCTATGAATCTACCACTGTTGTCCTAGATAAACCAGAATTTGAATGCAAGACCCTGCAACCTTGAATAGCTAATGTATGAAAACTGCTTAACAAATTACCTGCCAAGTACTGGGATTAAAGGTGTGCACTACCACCACCCGAATTAAGATAGATGTTTTTGTTTTTTTTTTTAAATAAAGTAGGCAGGATGTGGTGGCATGTGCCTCTAGTCCCAGCACTCAGGGAGGCAGAGGCAGGTGAGTCTCTGAGTTCAAGGTTAGCCTATTCTACAATGTCTGAACAGGCTACACAGAGAAACACTGTGTAGTGTGTTTGGGGGGGGTGAGAGAAAGAATATAGATAACGCTAAATTTGTATCATACATACTATCTTACCTAATCATTACAACATCGTTGGATAAAGCATTCATCGCCATTTATAAAGAAAGTTGGAGAATTTCTAAGAGGAAATGATGCCCTCCATTCTCCCACTCCTCACCCCTGCTTCCCCCCTCCCCCTTTACTTTTTGAGGAGAGGTTTTGTCTGTGTAGCCCTGACTAACCTGAACTGGCAGCCATTTAGGCCAAACTGGCCTTGAATTCACAGAGGTCTCCCACCTCTCCCCCTCACGTGGTGAGATTAATGGCATGTGTCACCAGGCCCAGCAAGGTCCATTTTCAAGTTGCTATTGACATGCATTCCTATGGGAACTTAACTGTGCACTAATGTAGGTAGAGAAGAGAAAATTCTGATCCTTTTCCATGGCATCTCTGTAGCCTTCCTTCCATGGCTCCCTTTTACTCAAGAATAAAGTTGCCCATTAAGGTCCTATGTCTGCTCAATGTTTTAAGTAGTAATCAAATCCAAATCCAACAATGCCACTTCAAAACGGGGGAGAGCAAATGCCTGCAGATACTCAGATGTGTAGGCCACGTGATTTATTATTTTTCACACTCATTAACAGTATTCCAATGCATTTGGTTCAAGAGATACATAACTGAACCTCCCTGGTTACCATTTCTTAATGCAAATCTAGAGTCGGAAAAGAGAATGTGTTGGTCAAGTTTAGAGCTTTTAAACATGAAAATATTCCTATTTCCCCCTTCTGAATTGCACTTGCAGCACCCGCCTGGCCTCTGTCTACCAAGAAGGGGAGCCTCCTCTAGCTAAGATATGTCTTCAGCAAGAAAGGTCACAGTGACAGTAAACTGGGACATAGTGAAGGAAAAGATAGTTTACTGTCAATTTAAAATGAATCTAAAGAATGTTTTAATATTAAGAAAATAAGCATACCAATTTAAAAATTAGAAAAAGCAGGCCAGGCTGGATGGTGCACACATTTAACACCAGCACTCAGGTTCAGGGCCATCTGATTAACAGAGAGTTCCAGGTCAGCCAAGGCTACATGGTGAGACCTTGTCTCAAAAATAGATGATACATACATACATACATACATACATACATACATACATACGGAGACAACACTACACACCCATCAGAATGGCTAATCTCCAACATGCTGATAACCCTGACAATTAACAGTGTCAAGGGCAGGTTCTCTCATCCAGAGCTGATGACAATACAAAATAAGTTGGCGGATTCCAATGGCTCTTGGCAGTTTATAAAACTAAACATACTTTTTCTATAAAGTCCAGCAGTTGGGCCAGATGTGGTGGCATGTGGCTACACTCCTAGAATTTAGGAGACTAGGATGGAAGAATCTCAAGCAGCAGGCTAGCCTTTGAGAACAGACATAAAGTTCTGCCTTTGACAGCAGACACATAAAATCCTCCAAGAAGCCCTAATATAAAAAACACAAAATACTTTATTATGCTATGTAAATATATCTTATGGTTCAAAGTTACAAAATGTACTTTGGCCAGTGCAGACTGACTCAGTGAGAACACATTAAAGCGAACACTGTGTGCAGAGGTAGGGAATGGATGATAAATGTTTCTTCAACCTTCTAAGTTCTTACTTGGATGTTGTGTGATGCTTTTGCTCTTTTACTCTTTTGGCTTTTTGTGGGGCCCACCACCCAGCTCCCAAATAAATCACACACAGATGCTTATTCTTAGTTATGAGTGCCTGGCCTTAGCTTGGCTTGTTTCTAGCCAGCTTTTCTTAACTTTAAATTATCCCATCTACTTTTTGTCTCTGGGCTTTTTCCTTTTCTTCTGTATATCTTACTTTTACTCTTGCTCTATGGGTGGCTCAGTGACAGGACACTGATATCCTCCTCTCCTTGTTCTCTCGTTTCTTCTCCTTTTCCTCAGTTCTTCTATTTATACTCTCTGCTTGCCTGCCATCCTCTCCTATCCATGCTCCTCCTGCCTGACTCTTTATTAGGACCACCGAGTGTTTTAGACAGCCACAGTAACACAGCTTCACAGAGTCAAAAAATGTAGCATAAACAAAAGTCTCACACCTTAAAATAATATTCCCCAACACTTGGAATGAACTCCAGCAACAAAAGAAAAACCAGTAAGACACAAACAACCGGAGGTTCACTGATGTAAACGCCCTGCACACACCAGGGTTTCCCAGGGAAGGAGTGATTTCCAGAGAGGTGACTCAGATCGCCAGCTAATCCAGATCGTCACTAGACAACAGTGAAGGACAGGACAGAGGAAAGAACTAGGGAAGGTTTGCTGTCTTTTTGTTGTTCTGAGACAAGCTTTTGCTCTGCAGTGCAGGCTATTCTCGAACTCCAGATCCTTGCCTCTGCCTCATGGGTGCTGAGATGAGAGGGGCAGCACCAAGTCGGGTGAGGAAAGGGGGTTTGTGTCTCTAGGGTGGGAAATCATGGGGATGCAAACAAATGACACCAGGGCCTGTTGGTAAAGCCCGTCCATGAAGGCCTGAAACTCACAGAGATCCACCTGCCTCTGCCTCTGCCCCTGAGTACCCTCCCACCACCAAGCTGGAAGTCCTTTTTAATATTTCAGATTGCCCCAAATCCAGACTATAATTTCTATATCATAGCAGATATCTGGGTTATGTAATATTTTCAATCTTTTTTTTTTTTTTTTTTTTTTTAAAATGCAGTAGGCATCAGATCCTCTGAAGCTGGAGTTACAGGCAGCTGTGAGCTGATATGGGTTCTGGAAACTAAACTCAGGCCTTCGGAAAAGCATTATCTGCTCCTAACTACTGAGTGGTCTAGCCCATCTCAAACAATTTTTATGTCGAAGAAGTATGGCTACCTATTCTGATTTCCCTCAACAGACACTAGGAATGTGAACTTAGTTCATATCACAGGAAATACAATTTTTTTTACGATAATGTTATGGTAGTTTGAATAAGAATAACAAAGACCCTTCCCATCCCATGAAATCCCTTTTTATTTATTT